TTTCAAGATCCCCTATATTCCTTTTACATGAAGTATTCATATAGCAAAAGGTGCAGTAAGCAAAAAATCCAAGTCAGCGTCTTCCCTGGAGCAATAAATTGAATCAACACATTACGTTTCACTATTCAAAAATACAAATAGAGACAATCGCTTGCAAAAATTATTGAGACAACTATAAGTCATTACCCCCGCCCCACAAACAATGTTGAACAAACTTACAAACGATACAAAGGTAAATTGTCAGGCCAAATTTTTTTTAAACATTGAATATATATAGGGGGGATGTAATCACGGGCTGAATACGGAAATAGAACGAAATATCAAAAGTCTCATTATTTTTGCACGAGATTGTAGGAGTCTAGGCTGAATTAATCTAAAGTCCGGATCAAACGGATGAGAGTGCATGCACGAGAGCTTGCAGTCACGCGACCTTGGTAATGCTTTCCCAACACTATCGTGTATTCTGTTTAGGTTGAAATATAGTGTGAACACTCGTCAAACTTTCATTTTGTTAGTCTAGAGCTTGAATTGGAAATTCTCCCCGTATCACTAATAGGTGACTGCAACTAACTCTCATCAAGACATCAACTCTTATCAACTCTCATCATTTAGTGACCGGGGCTTTAACTGTATCAAAGGAAGACAAGTACTATGATGATGGTAAGCAAAAGTCCTGGGGTGCAGTTACTGTGTATTCGTTCGTAAGCAACTAAGTATTATTGATGGTAGGCCTATATATAATTTATTCGAAACAATCAATATGCAAAGACCGCAAAGTGTTACGAAATTGCCAGTGGGCGTTTTTGCCTTAAGGGGCTTATATAATTAGTCGGAAGATTACAGCAGATAAGAATAATTTATAATTATTATATCAGATTTTAGACATTATAAGCAGTTTGTTCAATTGTGGGTGCCCACAGACTACAGTATATATATACATGATATGTCTGAGATTGCGCGTAACTTACGTGTACACTGTATAAGTGTAATATATATAATGCAATTTGTAACGTGCTCTTCTTCATTTATATACCAATTATAAATGCTGCTTTTGACGAGTCAGTGGAAGAAAGCAATGTTGAAGCCCGATTGAACGTCCTCCTGAACACATTAGGGCATCTTTTCCAATAATTTTGTCAGCTAATTGCTTTGACAGCAACCTGCACCCATGCACAGTTACAAGCTACGACCGCGACCCTATAATATTCTGTATTTCTTCGTACACGGCGAGGTGGCATTTTAACGTCCTACTTCTTTTAGATTTTATGTACATGTAGTTTACTTGTTTACGGAAATCATTGTTGATCATTTGAATATGCTTGCCTTTGCAAATCCTGCATGCCAGTATGCTTTGTTTCGATATGCTACTTGCATGCACACTATCTCCAAAAGACTCCATGATTTAGGAAATTTTGATCATTCAATTTTTAATGCATGCTTTGATCGTTTCCTTTGATTTACTTCTTTAACTACACCTAATTCAAAAAAGGTTGTCCTTTCCTAACCTTCAAAACTCTAAATCTTAAACCTTCAACTCTAAGCGCGCAAAGTTTAATGGGAGCACGGGTTTCAAGCTTAATATAGTTGAATATTGCAGCTTTTGTGAACTGATGAATTGCTCTCATAAGGAGATTATTTACCATGTCTCTTCGAGTCGGATGCAATTAAGACAATAGATGAGATGATAAACCTCATTAAGCTTCATTATCTATTGTTACCTCCGCTAGGAGGTTATGTAATCATCTGAGTTTGTATGTGTGTATGTGTGTGTATGTGTGTGCGTATGTGCGTATATACAGTAGTGTGTGTTTGAGTGAATGTCGAAGAGTATATAGTGTATATATTGTGAAAATAGTGTAGTCAAAAGTGTATATATAGTGACTATGTATGAAGTGGGATTTTCTAAGAACGAGGAAACATATTTGCCTTTATGACTTTAGTTATATAGGCTAACATGCATATGACTATGAATGTGTCACTGAATGTATAAAGCGGCGGGATTTTTTTAAGAACGAGGAAACTGCATAAGGAAACATATATGCCTTGATGACTTATGTATCATATGACTATGTGTCACTGATTGTATATAAAGCGGATTCTTTTAAGAACGAGAAAACATGCATGTCTTTATGACTTCTACTTATAAATATAACCATAGCCATAGGTTATCAGTGCCTTTTTTAACTATATATCTGGGGGGGGAAGGGCCCCCAGAAAGATTTGCCCCCCCAGTAAAGCTATTTCTGCCCCCGAAGTGCGAAGCAGAATGTCTTCGATGTACTTTATAATCTTCGGAATTCTGCTAGATTTCACTCCCAAAATGCTTGAAATCGCAATTCAGGGACCCTAGATTTCAAAATTTTCCCGGGGGTGCAAACTCCCGGACCCTCCTAGACGGCCTCAGGTCTTCGGCGTGAGGTTCGCCCCCCAAAAAAATTAAGATCTGGCTACGCCACTGGTTATAGCTGTACGATTATAGCTACAAAGAGTTGAAGTTATTGTTTAAAGTAAAATATAGGGGAAGTTAATAAATTAAAGTTTTACAAAATCTCTCTTCAGACTCGCGCGTTCGCCAAAACTCGACGGCTCATAATTTTCGTCCTGCCTTTTTTCCTGTTTTGCCCCCCCCCCCCAGTGGAAATTCCTTAAAAAAGGCACTGTAGGCTATAAGACCGGTTTGAGTGAAAAATGTGTAATAGAATATTTGATTACAAAACAACGTTTCATATCTGCATGCATTAGTATTTACAAATTACAATTACAATTACAATAGCGGTATTAATCACTATAAGATACCAGTATCTGTTAAAAAAAAATAAAAAATTATATATATATATATATATATATATATATATATATATATATATATATATATATATATATATGTTAACGGATAATGAGTTGTAAGCAAGTAAGGTGTCGCTTTTTTTATATAGTGTATATTTTGTATATGTATACACTATATATATACACAATATACACTATATACAGCCTAGCAAGTTGATAAAAGCGAGAATATACAGTATATACAGTTTTGACTATATAGACCTGTATATTGTGTATATTTTGTATATATATACACTATATAATCCTTGTCATTGTGAATATATACACAATATACGCTATATACAGACTAGCAATTAAGTTGATAAAAACGAGAATATACAGTATATACAGATTTGACTATATAGACCTGTATATTGTGTATATTTTGTATATATATATATATATATATATATATATATATATATATATATATATATATATATATATATATATATATATATATATATATATATATTATATTTAATAGATTTGAAGATTTGTAATCCAGGCATTTTATTAAATTATAATTTTTACAAAATTATACAGTGTTCTCCGGATTGTAATAATTTGTTTGATAATTTGTTTGTTGATTGTAATAATTTGTTTTGTTTTGTTTGTTTTTTGTCAGTTTTTTGTTTTGTTTGTTTTGTTTTATTTGTTTGTACTTTTTTTTTAACAAATTATTACAATCCGGAGAACACTGTATAATTTTGTAAAAATATATATTATATATATATATATATATATATATATATATATATATATATATATATATATATATATATATATATATATATATATATATATATATATAATTATAATTTTTACAAAATTATACAGTGTTATATATATAATTATAATTTTTACAAAATTATACAGTGTTCTCCGGATTGTAATTATTTGTTTTGAGCTTTCGACTCGGTACTTCGAGCCTTCATCCGAAAGATTGATCATTTGAATTTTCGCGCTGTTGTTGACGCTGTCGAAGTCTGTGGGAACGTCTGATTGGTTGATGGATTTCAGTATGTTGGTTGCCATTAGTTACTATCGAATGCGGGTGATTATTGTTATCATGAGACGGTGTAGGGAAGGAAGTTGAGTGTGGGTTAAAGGTTAATGAAGATGAATTAGGAGATTTGTGAGAGCGTTTCAGTTGTAAATTGTAAATAAATTGTAAGTAAATTGTAGGGATGTCAATGTGACGGTTAAATGTTTGTTTGTCTAAACTATGCCACGCTTCTTTAAACTCACGGGCATGTTTAGTAGTTGCTTGTCCTATAGGCATTTCGTTTGAAACCTGTCGAATTTGTGTCCGTTGTCGTCTGTGTGTTTAGCTGGAAGTGAGCTATGGTCGTGTCTGTTGATTGCGTTCTGGTGTTCTGTTAGTCTTGTCTGAATCTTTTTAGAAGTTTGTCCAATGTACTTATCCGGACAGTTTTTGCACGGGAAGATATAAATGGCGTTATGTTTATCCGTTATATGCACAGCAAAAAATCATTTTCTTATTAAGAAAATAATTCTTAATTTAAGAAATTATTTCTTAAAACGAGAAACGGATTTTCTTAATAAGAAAAAGATTCTTAAAATAAGAAATATTTCATTGGCAAGATATTTTTTCTTGAAATAAGAAAAAAATTTTTTAACATATCTTGAATTATATTTGTTTTCTTAAACCAAGAATGTATTTTCCTACGATTTTTTCATCTTCATATCAATCATTTTGTTAATTAAGAAAAGATGATTTAAAATAAGAAATCAAATTCTTAACATAAGAATTATATTTGTTTTCTTAAAACAAGAATATGTACGGTGGTTCTGAAGGGCCATGGTCCCCCCACTTTTTATCGCCCTATTTAGTCCATTTATCCATCCACTTTTTTACCAAGTCGCCCCACTTTTTTCTAGAAAGTCGCCCCACTTTTTTCTAGAAAGTCGCCCCACTTTTTTTTACAAAGTCGCCCCACATTTTTTTACAAAGTCGCCCCACTTTTTTTACAAAGTCGCCCCACTTTTTTTTACAAAGTCGCCCCACTTTTTTTATCGAAAGCCACTCCACTTTTTTGAGCACAAAGTTGTTCCAATTTTTGGCAAACCACACGCTCGTACAGTAGCGGTTATGTCAGGTGTTGTTTCCGGGTACGTAAATTCAAAATCTCTAGCTCAGAGTAAGAAGTATGGCGTTTGTCTATCTTGTTTTCTTTGCCTTAATATGTTCAGCTACAGCAGTTATGCCAAATTATAGCCCAGCAATTCAAGCAGACGGGTTAAGCCGTGATGAAATGATCGAAAAGTATTTTTATCTTGGATTGAGCAATGCAGAAATTTTGGGATTCATTGTGAACTTTCATGGCATTCGTCTGAGTCTACGGCAACTAAAGAGGATTTTGAGAAGAAGGAAATGCAAAAGACGAAATGACCAAGACAATCTTGAAGATGTCGTCTGTGCAATAGAAAACGAACTGAAGGGTAGCGGTAGTGTTATTGGGTATCGATCGATGCACCAACGTCTAACTAATGAATATGGGTTAGTAGTGACAAGGAATACAGTTCGACTAGTACTGAAAATTTTGGATCCAGATGGAGTCGAATCCCGATCAAGACACCGATTGAGGAGAAGGTTATATAGTGCAAAAGGTCCGAACTATCTTTGGCACATAGATGGATATGATAAGCTCAAACCATTTGGATTTTGCATTCACGGTGCCATCGACGGTTACAGCCGCCGTGTCCTATGGCTAGAAGTTTCATCATCAAACAATGACCCGGAAATAGTAGGAAAATACTATGCCGACTATGTGGATACTATAGGGGGCACGTCACGTATAATTCGGGCGGATAGGGGCACAGAAAATGTAAATGTAGAGGCAATGCAACGGTTTTTTCGCAGATCATCAGAGGACGATTTTGCACGAGATAAAAGCTTTATGTACGGACGATCAACATCTAACCAACGAATAGAGGCGTGGTGGGGATTGCTGCGAAAGGGATGTACTGATTGGTGGATACGTTTTTTCAAGGATTTCAGAGACGTCGGTTTGTTCGATGACGATGACGTAATTCAAAGAGAATGCATTAAATTCTGTTTTATGGAAATAATACAAATTGAATTACATAAAGTGGCAAGGAACTGGAATATTCACAGAATCCGACCTTCAAATAATGCAGAATCCCCTCCAGGTCGTCCCGATGTTCTCTATTTCAATCCTGAGACACTTGGCAGTCAGGACTACCTGATACCTGTAGATATAGATGAAAGAGAAATAGCCGAGGAAATGTGCTGCACTCAACCTTCGCCTCGAGGATGCTCTGACGAATTCAATGCCCTTGCTGAAATGATCATGGAAGATGAAGGATTACAAATGCCTACTAATGCAAATGAGGGGAAAAACCTTTACATTTCTCTCCTTAGGTTAATCGAGGAAACCGAGAACGATGAATAAAAAGATTTACATACGAAATTGTCAATGTATAAAAGAGCAATTATGTAGTTCAGGAAAAAATCTCTGTTGTCATATACACACTCACTAAGATGAGCGCATGCATCTTCAGATAAATAAGTATCAATTTGTAAATATAAAGATTTATTTAATAATCCATTAATGGTTACACGACTAAAGCGAACATGCTACAGTACTCGCCAACTCAGGCAATTGGTCAGGCAAATGTTCACTGATTGAATCACTCATTATAGAGTAGTACAGCCAAATTAGACCAAAATCATGGTTAGCTTATAGTGTAAACACGGCATAAAATCATTAACAGGAACACAACAAGTTATTTACAGGGTTTAAAAACCGATTTGAAAAATGGTTCTCTGCCTTTTTTGTACAAAAAGACATACATTTTTACATACACTGTTCTCGTGCACACTAAACATAATATTTAAATCACTGAAATACTGAATTTCAAGATTAAGTAAAAAAACACTCACTAGCCTCGTTTTGGCACCTGTTTCATTGATATCTCATTGGTCGACAATTTCGTTTATATGGATTTTTTTAACCTTGAAATTTTACATTTTGGTCATAAAGCAACCTCGGTTAAAAAATGCTTATTTCACTCCACGATATAAAACAGTAACAATGCAGTGTACAGTATTTGACGGTCATTTTTATAAATCGGTCCAAATGTAGTTTTAAAACGCTTCTACTTTTACTTAATCTGTTAATCGATTCTGCGGCAGATACTATTTATCAGAATGTTAAATGTTTTAAAATCTTAATTTTTATAAAAACGACAACAGTTAACAACATGCAGTTAATCACTATAACACAACAATTTGTTATGCGATATCTATGTCCCAGTATTGACTGCTGAATATGTTGTTCATTTCCTGCCGGAACTGTGGAAAAGATTGATACGTAGTTGGGAGTTGCAGAACTGATCCGCAGGTGTGGGCGATAGGACGTCTTGCTGCACCATCAAGGTCAGTAAATACTACTTTTATTGATTCAACGCAAATCATTGTCGAGGAAGTGCAATAACGCAGGAACTTTGTTAGCTTCTCGTCATCAAGCCCTCGTATGTACCGCTTCAAAAACGAAAGTACAGCGCGCTGCGAATTACTTGTCGGTTCAGCACGTATTAGCTTTAAAACTCTTTTCACTGTTGGTCTTGCATTTTGGTAAATCTCCTCCAAAGACTCCCTCGAAGAAAATGCATCGCGATTTGCAAGGTTTTCTTTAAATGGCTTTCTCCAACTATCAATGATGAACTGCGCAATCTGGACCATTTCTTTATGCGCCAGTTCTAGGATTATTGTTTGACGATCCTCTTTTTTAGGGATTGTTCTGCAGTCAAACCTCTCGAGAAAATCAAGCCATTCTTTTTCCTGGTTGTCATCTAAATCATCATCTTTTAAAGCTGTATTGATTAGGTCTCGCTCATCTTTGGACACGTACCCTAAAAATGATTCCATCAACAGTTCATCTGGTATTTTTTCACTTTCAAACAGGGTTGAAAACATAAAAACTTTATTTAGTTTTACTGGAAAGAACTTGAGTTCGCTGTAACCCTTGACCAGAATTCGCGCTATCGCCTCCCATTCTTCTTCTTTAAAATCATGTCTGACTACGGGCACTCTTTCTTCCTCTCCAACTGTACATGAATCGTAAAACGAACTCCAAAAGGCAGAAAGAGCGTCACGAAAGACACCGCCATCATCAACGCCCAACTCTTCTTTTCCGAACGAATTAATCATAACGACTTTGACGTGGATCTGCATAATCGATTCATCTTTAAAATTCTCAATCATGTCTTGCATAATATTTACTCTTCTGATTTTTAGAACTCTGAAAGACATAAATAAATTGCATTATACTTAATAATAATAACTACAGAGCGAAGTACGCACGATATCTTCTTGCGACTTGTATTTATGAAACCTTGTTCTAACAGAGATTAATACTGAGAGATGTTTACTGAATATCTGTCTACCTTCACGAAACATGGTTCGGAAACAATGTGTCCACACAAATTAGGCAAATGGTGATTAACCGGAGGTACAGCACTGTTATTTCCTACAGAGTACCGGACAACAAAAATCACTCTATCGCGTTGTTTTTGTTCTCTTTCACATTCAATGGTCATATTTTCGTATTGGAGGTGTCAGATATTAGGAATAATTTATACAATGAACTAATGCGATTTTCATCGAAATTGAACCAATATATCCACAAATTTTCGTGTTAATATGTTGGATCATTTTTGACGGACCATGCTGACAGACAGACAGACAAACACACACACACACACACACACACACACACACACACAAACGCAGATGAAAACATAACCTCCTGGAGGAACAGGGTGGACTTTCGTCGACGTTGCATCAAAATAGTGCCGGCTCGTGAGCTTTTTCCCGCAAATTTTGCTTTTCGATGTTTGGCGTACAATTTCTAAGGATGTTGAAGTTTACAGCATTGTGATTCACTGGTTTTTGAAAGCATCTGGTTTTTTTGTTGTTGGAAGTTCTGGGCTAACTCTTCAACAACCTAATGATTGTTTTTAAAGCAAAGCAATTGAAAGGAAAACTTATATTTTCATACGAAGAAGATGAGTGGCGATATTTATGTTGGACTGTTTAGAGCAGATGCTTCGAAGAACATGATATGATCGGACCTTGTATCTTAAAAGTGTACTTGGAACAGCCGAACAAAGTGGTAAATTTTGTTACTCGGTGTGTTGGGCATCATAATTCACGGGAATAGTACACAGCGGCGTTTATACTGGCTATGAAATATCCTGAATACTTCGTCGAGTTCTCTACCGCCATGTGACCTGTAGTTTAATGTGGCACGCGTCTTTGAAAATGCTTTACTTGGCTTTAATCGACGTGTAAGGTATAACTTAGGTAAGCCAACATTTCTTTGTAATGCAAGCTACATTTTCTTATCTTTAATGTGTGAATATTTTTAATTTTGTAAAAAATTAAGCGCAATAGGTAAGCCAACATTTCTTTGTAATGCAAGCTACATTTTCTTATCTTTAATGTGTGAATATTTTTAATTTTGTAAAAAATTAAGCGCAATATGTTGTTGGAGAAAGTATCGAGTGTTTCATAATAACGCTCTGATCTTGTATACAGATATTCGTATTTTATTCAAAATCTACCCTTTATCACCAGTTTTTTTACTCTTATGTTAATTTAAAGTATACATAATCCTTGACTTGATAACACGATGATCTACTCGATAAAAATTGGGCAAAGGAGCGATCTTTGCAGAGAAACTTGACCGTTCGGTGCAATCGGTAGTTCAGAGACCCTGTTTTCATTGCAGTATTTCGTGACAATTTGTTGGCCGATTTCTAGTTTATATTGTAGAACGGGTTCTTGGTGAATTAAATTAATTGTTTATCTTCTAAACAGTAGTAATAAGCGCGACTCATTTTTGTTGATGGATGTTGAACTCATTTTAGACTTTTATTCGTATACAACCAAGTATACTACCGAGTACTGAATCACTGTTTGCAAATTATTTTTTTAAAGTCAAATAGTTTCTCCATGGATAAAAGTAGTTTTTATAGAGTCAAAAATAGGGCAAGTACGAATTTAAAGAAGGTCAAGTTGCACTTGTATATCTTTACTTCGAAAAAGATATACATATAACAGATATATTTGTACGGCGAAATTAAACTGCTGCAACAAAGATTCTATTTCTACTTTCACGTTCTTATTCCAAAGCAAACACTTCTAAGATGGAAATGCCTAAAATTGGGAGCGTAGAAACACTAAAGAAACAAGAAAACGACTTCATAACACGAGTAGTTTTGGCAAATTTGGTGTTTGTTTTTAGAATTCAGTCACGCGATTAACCCGCACTCACGTGCACTCCACGCTTACGTTTCTCGCGCATGCCTAGACGAAAGTCCAACCTGTTTCCTGGAGGAGGAAATGTAATTCAGACGGTGTATAAGACTTTCATTACCTGGTTACAGGAAGGTTTTGCAGGTCATCGTGAAGAGAGCGGTCATCCAGTGACGGGTAGATGTTTGGATTGTCAATCTCGTTTTGTCTAATCTGGTTGCCTTGTTGGTTAGACTCTTCATTTTCTAGTGTGGCAGCAGCAATTTCAACGTTACTATCTAGAATGGGTTCTGATTTCCTACAACAAAATAAAAAATACCTTATTACATTTCCAAACTTTTTCATCTAAATCAGATCAAATCAATGCAAGTTTCCATTTTCATTTCCGATTCATTCTATGTAATTATAATCATATAGCTATCACACAATGTGTGTTAGTAAAACTTCATTCCGTTGATAATTCTAACCTTAATTGTTGTGATTGATGATTGTACAATGTTAATAGATAATGAATCATCTAACACTATTGTCTCCGACAGGAGGTCATGGAGGTTTTTGTGATACATTTTATTACATTGACTTGTTTACATTTTTCGGGAATATTGTGTTATTTGTGTAATCTAATGAAATATGACACTACTTGCCCTCTAAAGGTTGTAAATCGCTATAATGTTGAAATTTTATTATATTTATCGATAGGAATTTTCTCACTCAATCGAATGGTATTATTTCCATACACATAGCATGCACTGAACCGAAGATATGAATCTGCAACATACCAGGTCGGTTTCGACCTGGTTATTTCAGCGCCAAACGAAAAAGAGTTAGGAGAAGGGTTAGGGTTAGCGTTTGGATTAGGGTTATTGCAATTGTAGATCCATTACAACCCAGTACTTTATTGCATACAATGGCTTAACAACGCCAATATATTATTGGTTACAACGCGTGGAACGGCTGGCCCTCTAGTTTGTGTACTGTGCAAAACAATGAATATACAATTATTGATAAAAATTGATTTTAATATATTTTTGGGATTGAATTCCGGGTTGCAGCAACTAGTGCAGTAGTATGTGCAGCATTTAAGGCATTAATGCTAAAAATGTGTATAGCACGTGACAGCCATTTTTGTCAATTGTACAGTAATAATGATACCTACTGTACATTATGCATACTTCTGGCTAGAAAAAATACTGCATTTACCACATAAATTATCACTACTAGTCTACTACTGTATCTATGAAATGTAATAACTTACATCACATCTCCCTCCAAGAGAAATGGTGGTGGAACTTCCCATATATCTTCAATGACTTCAAGGTTGTTCAAATCATGGTTGTCTTGAATTTGCTTGATCGATGAACAATCCTTATTTATAATGCAGGAAATATGGCCATCTCATCAGACTCATCAGCTACAGCCATGTTCAGAAGTGCTCGATCTACCAAAGTGACTGGTAAACTTGGATCGAAACTTGCCATATCACACGAAGATAGAGTAAAATGGGTAGGATTTGGACTAAGTGATCCCACCCAGTCATAAATGCTGGAGATTAAACAGAGAATAGGAAATCTGCGAGTCTGCACACCAATTGTTAAGTGCCTTACAGATACCGTCACATGTGGCTCACTCATGTCTGGTTCATGAACAACATTTGCTAATCTTGCTCTGTACAGGTCTTGTTCTTCCTTTACCTTGTCTTGTATGCTTTGAAGTTCTTTTCTTTTATCGTTTTCTTTTTCTTGGTCCTTTGTCAATGACTGAAGGTACTCAACATCCTGTTGCTGGCGCAAGTTGCTTCTCTCTGACACTGAACCGATTAAACCGCTGGTATGTCCATGCTCATCAAAAGTAGGGCATAGTCCATGCTCATCAAAAGCAGGGCATAGTTCTTCTTCACTGTCACTGGATTCAAATATATTTCTAATATCATCAACAGATTTTGTTAATAAATAAAGTCTAACTTTTGACAACTTATACAATTTTATGTAATTCATCAAAGTAAAATCGTCATCTGTGATCTCCTCATATTTGAAATCGCCCAGTGACATTTTCATCCTGGAAGCAGATCCAAAAACACTTTTACCATGAGGAAAGAAAACAAGCTTCATTTGCTCTATTATGTCTGCTCTTGTTGAATTTATTGGAACACTGATATCACGTGACCCACCACCTTTGGACATACGAACAGAAACATATTTATTTTTGACTTTGTCAAAATGTTGCCAACCAATTAAAACTTTACGAATTGTTATTTTAGGGTCTTCTTTAATCTCAGTTGTCTTTTCTACCTTGCTCTTGGATTTGCTCTTTTTTCTTGGCAACTTTGCTTTCAACGTTTCAAGAAGCTTCCTCTTCTTCTCATCCCGTTCTGCTTTGTTCGGTTTAGCTTCCACGAATGCACGAAGAGCCAATACATCTCCTTTTCTTAATCGACCTATGGTTTGCAGCTCTTCATTTTTAGCCATCTTTATGGCAGCAAAATCCATCTGAGAGAAAAAATTAAGCCAATCAGTATTTGAATTTATTATTAATTACCATAAAGCCAGAGGGCATATTTTTCATGTATTTGAGTGTGTCTTATTTTAATATATGGTTCAAATGTTTAGATCTTGTTATATTGTTCACTCCCTGCAATGTAGGTACTTTGTAACACTCAGTCCCAATCTCTTCATTAACTCTGGAATGAAAATTTTAAGCACTATCCCTCTGCTCAAGGCAAAGCAAGTGTGGCCGGAGCACAGACATTGTAAATAATGATTATTTATAGCAGCTATTGTTTTCAGCTTTTAAAAGAAGTTTGTAATATTTCGAAAAACATTTGGTGCTGAAATTAATAGTTTAGGCCATGTAAAAAAATATCCTGGTTTTATCATCAATGGTAGCAGAAAAAACCCGTGCGGGCAGATTTTATTTTTATTTTTTACCTAATCATATTTAGTAGGTGCACTGAAAAATTACGCTCAAACACGCGACACAGTTGTATGGTATAATATTTTCAATGTTATTACACTTTTCATTAATATTACAATTGCTAAAAATTGCAAAGGCTCACTAGCGCAATATCATACACGTTGTCAATATGAACTCGTGTTTTCAAAATAGCCGACCATCGTGAAAATCTTGCGTGTGCTAGGGCACGGTCCGCCGGAAATGGTGATTTTTTAAAAATTAAAAATAAATCCTTGTGGCACGAAAAATGGATGCGGGCGCTGATGATAAGCTGAGATATTTTTTTTACATGGCCTTATGTTTTGGTGAATCTTTCCCATTGAGGGATGGTTCTGTATATATGCACTTGCCACTTCCCACTGTAAAATAATTAATTTTTTTTAAAATAATTTTACTTAGTTTACTTTTTGTTGACTTTGTTGAGTAGAAAATCATCTATTGCCATAAAACTAAAAGCTGCATGATCTCAAATGTACTTCACAACTGGAATTTTATCGGAATTTCATTATAACTACGAACCATAAAATAAAAAAATAAACATGCTATTTACTATTTTTCAGTTGAGCTTGGAATTGCGAAAGTTTGTTCGTTACGTTTTGTCGTTTGAAAACAATGTTTGTCGCATCATTCTATGTTACTAGGCGAGCTGCCGAGCTGACAATGTTGTCAAGTAAAACTGTCAAGTTCATGACTATAAATAGAAACTGTTACAAAATAAAATAAGTTTCTATTTATAGTTGTGAACTTGACAGTATTTTACTTGACAACATAGTCAGCTCGCCTTAGTAAAATATATAGAATGACGTCACAAACATTGTTTTCAAACAACAAAACTTTACGAACAAACTTTCGCAATTCCACACTCAACTGGAAATCGCAGGACCGTTTAGGTTGGTCCGTATACTGAAAAAATATATATATATATATATATATATATGTATATATATAT